ACTGCCTTGCAGATACTCTATTCCTAGCAACTAATTTTTGCAAAAATTGTGCACCCCACAAGTCTGAGTAAGCCTGTGGGACGTAGGCCAGACGTCGTTCCAACTCCCTTGAATTATTGGCAGTTAGAACGAAATAGGTGAGAAACGCCCTCCAGCCAAACTGCCATTTTAAAAACTTATTACTCAGCCGACGTTGCGGAGCGTCATCCGAATTCTCAGATTCAGCTACACTATTCGCATCGTCGCTATTAGCATCATCGATATCATGATGCCTAATTTCTACATTTCTACCTCGAATGTTGACTGGCCCATCATTTTTACATAAATAAAAAGAGCATGCCCGACACAAATCTATCTCTACGGCTATACCTCTACGAATTGCCACCTGCGAGAATTTCCTGCCCCGTAAAGTAGAAGAAGAAAATTTGTCTACTTCTATACGACAGAGACACGAAGCGCAACAGAGCTCTATTTCTACATCAGATTGCGAACTATCCGAATCCACATCCATCCCGTCATCCCCATGACTCACTATATCCGACTCTGATTGAGCCGAAGGTGAAGACGATGATGATGCAGGCGAAGGCGATGATGGTATAGGTGATGGTGGAGGTGATAGTGGTAGTGATAAGGATACAACTGGAGTGGGTACCTGAATGAAAAAATTTTGCACTATTCCTAGTATTAAATACTTACGCTTTGCTGTGAAGCATGAGCATGGGTTCCTAACGGTAAGACAGGTGATGATGGCGGTGGTGGAGGTGGTGGAGGTATAAGAGTTGGTGTCGGTATAGGCGTAGGCGTAAACGTAGGCGTAGGCGTAGGCGTAGGCGTAGGTGGAGGCGTAGATGTAGGTGGAAGCGTAGATGTAGGTGGAGGCGTAGATGTAGGTGGAGGTGGAAAAGGTGCTGGTGGTAGTGGTAGCGATGATGGTGGTGGTGGGGGCGGAGCAACTGGCGGGGGTGGCAGTTGATTCTGAGCTCGACTATAATTCCCATGGCAGACGATCAAGCGACTTACTTGTAATGTAGCTTGGTGTACTACAGATGGCAGTGACAATGATGTTAATGGTGGTGGTGCTGCTATTGTTGATGGTGGTGATAGGGAAGGAAGAGGGAAAACCTATGCTAATATGGAAGACACCAAAATAGTAGATCGTACCAGTGGTGGCGCGGATGGTGTAGGGTGACCGTCAAGGAAGGGATCAGCAGGGGGCACTGGTGGTACGGCCGCCTGTGACTGCTGAAAACAAGAGAATCGAGAATGGATTCAGTTCAATAATTCACCTGACGATCAGCTTCCGCTTTAGCATCTTCCTGTTCTTTCTTGTGGATCTCGTTACGAAGCTGAAATACAAATCACGTTTTACATTTGAAATCTCACGTTACGCAAGTTGAGCGAAACACTTACATTGCGAGAGATACAGGAATTGCATATACCGTCCTTGGTTAGGAACTTTGCGCAAACTTTGCACTGTTCTCTCTTATTTTTGCGACGTGGTGCCATTCGCTTCCTAAAGAAAGAAACAAACTTTCTTCCCCTTAATACATGGTAACAATGCTCACGAGTTTGGTTTTGTGTGTTACGGTGAGGTGTGGTGTGGTGTGGCCCGAGACGGGAGTACACGAATGTGACAACAATGATTGACACTAACGAACGAAAAATGACAGTATCTTCCTGCTTTTGTGTAATGATCATAGATGCAGTACCTTTCAACTGTTGAAATTCGACAAGCTACATCATTGTATTATGATGAAACAGGGTGTAATACTAAGAAGGGTGAGTCAGAACCATGTGCGCGGAAGAATTTCATAACTCAAGTTTAGAATGTGATCTGATATTCGAACGTGTAAGATATTGAATCCGTAAACCACAGTGAAATATACCATTGAGCACCAGAATGATTCCCCGATTAATTGACAGTTTAACCCAACAATTCAATGGCGAAATGTTCTAAATCTTAGCTTTCCATGATGTGCAGTACCTAAAATGAAACCATGAGTCGAATGTAACTTGTGATTCCGACTTACATGAATTACATGGAATCCTCCGATCTGCATGATAGCATTTCCGATTGTATAGTATGAGAAATTAGGCAGCCATATACAGAGAAGTCAAAGTAATGCTTATGATACATGAGCCATACAATTTTGACAAACTCAACACAGCTGTTACAGATCAAAAACACAGCTCGACGCGCCCAATAGGGACTTCATGCAGAGTAGTCATGGGGTTGCCATGTCATTCTTACCCGAATGGCGAGACTCCGTTATTACCACGCGGAAAAGACGAACAGTAGTTGAGTATCTGCCGAAAATATAGTAGCTTGTATTCTGAGTGATGGACTCACTTCAAGAGTAGAAACAGCCGAATAATTGAAGGAGACTCAGTAACTTGCTCTTAGTCCTCGAGACTCTCATCTGCGACGTCGACAGAAGAAGCACGGTCAGCATTTTCCGGCGATGCTTCTGATCCGGCAGCAGCAGCAGCAGCAGCAGCTTCGGCAGCCAGACGACGTTCGCGAACCGCTGGTGGTTCTAACCCCCGGAATACCTGTCGCTATAATAAAGAACAATCCATAATGCCATCTTCATTACAGAACCCGCCAATCCGCCTTGATCAACGCCTTGACTTCTTCCATTCTGTCGCTGCTGTTGTTGTGATTGCTGCTGTTGGTGCGGTAAGTGTTGCTCTCGCTGCTGCTGCTGTCCTCGCTGTTGCTGTTGTTGTTGCTGCTGCTGCATCAGTTGCTGCTGTAGTTGTTGTATTTGCAACATTTGTTGTTGCATTTGTTGTTGCATTTGTTGTATTAAATCGTTTTGTGGTTGCTGTTGCTGTGGTGGTGGTGGTGCATCATTAACCTGGAAGCAGGGCACTATTGACGAGAGTCACGCGCATGCAGTGCATGAACGATATTGATACATTACCGGCTGTCTTGCGATATGGTCACGATTTCCTTGGTTGGCAACTTGTTGTACTGCGACATCTGAAAAAAAATGATACGTCGAAAAGAGCATCCGAGTGGCATACTTGGTTGGTTGACATTTTGCCGTTGTGGGCCTTGGATCTGTGCTGCTCTAATATTGAGGTCGTTAGCATTTCGGACAACGCGTCTCAATCTGCGAACGAAAATACCCCATTGAAAAGTTGAAATATCTCACCTCATGGCCTTGACGTTTTCAATCACCTCGGGAGTGGTGTTGGATGGTCGCAGAGAGCAGACATGTAGTTTTGACTCAGTGATAGCTCCCTGCTCATCAGCAGTTGCAGCCACTCTCCCTGGTTTCACCCAGGCCGTAGCCACCCATCCACCGAGACTATTAACGTAAGCCAATATCTCCCTAATCTTCGGTCGTATCGCTAAGCCACTCCACTGGCAAGTCTCCTACAAGAAAACGAATTAAAATAATCACGACAAGAACGATCTTACCAAAGTTGCTGCGTCGTCTACGAAGTAGGCTGTTAGCTGATGCGAGGATATCGTGAAGGAGCGGTTCAGGGTGGGAGTCTCGAGGACAAACTGCACCACCCATTTACTCTTCGTCGGATCCGTCGCGACACAGCCACAGCGCTTAGAAGGTGGACCTTGTGCATCGCACAAGGGACCAAAACAGCAGTCCTCTATAACCGTCGCCCTCAACAAGTTGACGGATTCCACGCGGAAGTTATAAACTCTGTAACGAGTAGAGCTCTCTATTCCGCGTGGTATATCCGTCAAAACCTCATCGACCGCAATAGGAATCAACCTATCGGGCGAAGACAGCAACTTAAGACCGTTTTCCAATCGACCAACTGTCGATGGCTCGATCAAAGCTGCTGTAGACCCAGGAAAAAGGTCACCAACAAATTTGAGGAGGTCGTCACTCTGGCTACTACTGTAGGTGATGACCACCACCTGAAGAAATCATATCACTACTTCAGCACTACCATCGGAGAACTATTACAGGTTCTCCGCTGAGGACGTCATAGCACAGCAACCATCTATGGTAGGATTGCTCAGCCATAATCCTCTTGTTCTGGTTGCCACCTTGTCCACCCACAAACTTTTGAAACCTATCGAGTATTGATACCTTCGAATTAGTAAAGTGTGTAACTAAAATTCCTACCTGACGACCTTTTCAGGAGCCTTCGTGTGAAGGAGCCTCACAATCAATTTACACTCACTGGTCTCCCCGTCATTGGGCAGATCGTAGAAGTTGATTGTACGCAGCTCCAAGGCCTCCTCGATGGCCTTGTTGTCATCCCTATTGAGAACTGGCATATTTTTTGTCAACGGAAAAAAATACGACTTGAGTGACTGAGAAGTTGCATAGCGAGCGGAGCCTATACCGCAACAACATGCCTTTCGAGTTGTGCGTGTGTGCGTGAGTGCGTGAGTGCGTGAGTGCGTGAGTGCGTGCGTGCATGCGTGCGTGCATGCGTGCGTGCGTGCGTGAGTGAGTGAGTGAGTGAGTGAGTGAGTGAATGAGTGAATGAGTGAATGAGTGAGTGAATGCGTGAGTGCGTGCGTGAGAGAGTGCGCGCGTGCATGCGTGCAGAATTATTCTGCTTTAACATCGCAGCATAGGAAGCTACCAGATAGATCAAACGACTCGTGTATTATAGTCGTTCGTTCGTATATTGTGCGTGTATTATATTTGACTTTTTAAGTTTCCTGCTTACATGGCAACTTATGAATTGAAATTCCACTTGCATAAAACTACCGTGAACACTACTAAATACTTCACCCACTAATTAAGTCTGACACAACTAACTATGAACTGGCGAGAATATCATTGTCTCCACTAAGACACATTATACGCGAATAAACAAGCATGTCGTTCATACAGTGCATGTTATCTACTACTACTTCTGGAAACATCCTCCTACTATAAAAATACTACTACTATGAAAAAATACTACTAGTATAACAATACTACTACTATGAAAATCCTACTACTATGAAAGTACTAGTATAAAAATACTGCTACTATGAAAATACTACTACTATGAAAATACTAGTATAAAAATACTGCTACTATGAAAATACTACTACTATGAAAATACTACTACTATGAAAATACTACTCTTATGAAAATCCTCCTACTATAAAAATACTACTACTATGAAAATACTACTAGTATGAAAATACTACTACTATGAAAATACTACTACTATGAAAATCCTCCTATTATGAATATCCTACTAGTATGAAAATCCTACTACTATAAAAGTACTTTTTTTAGAGTACTACTATGAAAATACTACTACTATGAAAATACTATTACTATGAAGATTCTCCTATTACAAATATCCTTATAGTATGAAGACCCTACTACTATGAAAATACTACTACTGTGAAAATAGTACTACTATGAAAATACTACTACTATAACAATAATACTACTATGAAAATACTACTACTATGAAAATACTACTACTATGAAAATTCTCCTATTATGAATATCCTACTAGTATAAAAATCCTACTACTATAAAAGTACTACTATGATAATACTAGTACTATGAAAATACTATTACTATGAAGATCCTCCTATTATAAATATCCTTATAGTATGAAGACCCTACTACTATGAAAATTCTACTACTGTGAAAATAGTACCACTATGAAAATACTGCTACTGTGAAAATACTGCTACTATGAAAATACTATTACTATGAAGATCCTCCTATTATGAAAATCCTCCTATTATGAATATCCTACTAGTATGAAAATCCTACTACTATAAAAATACTACTATAAAAATAATATTACTATGAAAATACTAGTACTAAAACAATAATACTACTATGGAAATACTACCACTATGAAAATACTATTACTATGAAGATCCTCTTATTATAAATATCCTTCTAGTATGAAACCCCTACTACTATGATACTACTATAATAATACTACTACTATGAAAATACTACAATCATGAAAATCATACTACTATAATAATACTACTACTATTAAAATACTACTATGAAAATCGTACTACTATGAAAGTACTACTATAAAAATACTACTACTATGGAAATCTTTCGAATATGAATATCCTACTAGTATGAAAATACTACCACTATCCGAATACTGCTACTATGAAAATACTACTATGAGTATCCTACTACTATGAACACAGTACTACTAGGAAAGTATTACCACTAGGAAAGTAGTACCACTAAAAAATACTACTACTATGAGACTCTTCCTACTATGAAAATGATACTACTATAAGAATCATACTATTATGAAAATACTACTACTCTGAAAATGCTACTACTTTCAAAATACTTGTATGAAAATACTTCTAGTACTACTATTATCCTAAATCAACCTATTACTACTATAGTACTATTAGTAATATTAATACTACCTATTCAACCTATCTACTTAATCCTTCTATTATCAGTATCCTACTAGTATGAAGACCGTACTACTATGAAAGCACTTATAAAAAAATACTACTATTTTTTTTCTCGAGCAGCACTCCTTTTCACCAGGCAGATAGCCAGTATAGGAGTATGGCCGCGAACTCAGCAGCTCCGAAATGAGCTGCTAAGCCCAGGTATATGCTCTGAAGCAAATCCACATGAGTGGTATATGTACAGACTATTATTATCCTAAATCTACCTATTAGTACTATAATACTATTAATACTAGTAATAGTATTACTACCAATTCCATCTACCTACTAAATCCTCCTATTGTGAGTATCCTACTAGTATGAAGACCGTACTACTCTGAAAGTACTAGTATGAAAAGACTACTACTATGAAGGTACTACTATGAAAATCCTCCTACTACGAATATCCTACTACTATGAAATTCGTACTACTATAACACTTCTACTATGGAAATACTACAACTATGAAAATCCTACTACAATAAAAATACTACTTTTATGAAAATAATACTACTATGAAGAATTATACTATGTAAATACAAGTAGAAAAATAGTAGTGCTATGAAAATTGTACCACTACGAAAATACTACTATGAAAGTAGTACTAGAAAAATAGTACTAGTATGAAGACCGTACTACTCTGAAAGTACTAGTATGAAAAGACTACTACTATGAAGGTACTACTATGAAAATCCTCCTACTACGAATATCCTATCACTATGAAACTCGTACTACTATAACACTTCTACTATGAAAATACTACAACTATGAAAATCCTACTACAATAAAAATACTACTTATATGAAAATAATACTACTATGAAAAATTATACTATGTAAATACAAGTAAAAAAATACTACTGCTATGAAAATTGTACTACTACGAAAATACTACTATGAAAGTAGTACTAGAAAAATACTACTAGTATGAAGACCGTACTACTCTGAAAGTACTAGTATGAAAAGACTACTACTATGAAGGTACTACTATGAAAATCCTCCTACTACGAATATCCTACTACTATGAAATTCCTACTACTATAAAATTTCTACTATGAAAATACTACTACTATAAAAATCCTACTAGAATAAAAATACTACTTATATGAAAATAATACTACTATGAAAAATTATACTATGTAAATACAAGTAGAAAAATACTACTGCTATGAAAATTGTACTACTACGAAAATACTACTATGAAAGTAGTAGTAGAAAAATACTACTAGTATGAAAATCCACTACTATAAAGTCTACCACTATAAATACTACTACTATTATAAACCGCTATTTCCATTAACTTCACAACTGCGATGACTATTGGTGTCACTAATAGCGATTCACGCTTACTACTTTGAGTACTTTCTACTTCAGTGATGGTGATCATCATCGCTGTTACTACCAATACTACTTACCACTACTATTACTGCCATTATCACCCAGATAAAACCTTGTGGGTACTGAAGCGCTGAGGGAGACTCCTTTATGAAAAGCATGAGGAACGTAATAAATCTGTCACTATCAATGATCATCCCACACTGCACGTACACTAACCATACAACTCTTACTCACTACATAAGTCATCAGCATCAATCACACTAGCAACACTCGCATTATAAACATTTGATATGAAACTGATATGACTATCATCACTCATCGCAAACTATAAAACACAGGTCCTAACGTCCAGAAACTGAGACAACACTCATGAAACAGCAGTAAAATCAGCTAGGCAGCCATCGTTGAAAAAGTATACGAAGGTAATGATCCCAGACGTACCTGAAATTCCAATGATCATGCGACATGAAGAATTATACAACAATACCTTCATGGAGTAAGGAACTCATTGTTGTAGGAGTCGACAAAGCTCACGTAAGAAATCAAACATACTAATCGCCATGACGTTCAACTTACAACCATCATTGCATTCCCTGCAATGTAACATCGTCCCACCGAAGTATCTGAATAAAGAGCACTAGAGTAAAATAGACACGGTCAACACATGATGGCAGCTTACGTTTCATAACGAACTGAGATCTGAGAGATCTTGCACATGATAGAAACTACCGACACTGCTGTAGGGCTATGTTCCTTGTGAAATTTGTCGGCCTACAGAGCAATAATCATTAGATGACCCACCTACTGCGCACTTACAAGCTTGAATCCGTCTACTCGTCCGTGTTCACAATAGTAAAAACCCATGATGTGTAGGAGAACAGAGCAGAGGATATAATGCCAATAAGCGTCTACGCAGAAAGGGCAAAAGAGAGGGGTCTCATCGCACTTTTTGCAAGGACACCTGGAAGAAAATATTCGTCGCACATTGAAGGTAATATAATTGACTCAATCGTACTCAGCAACTTGGCGGCATAGTTGACCAACGTCAAGGTGAAGCTTCCACTGAAGATCCTTACGTGTTTTCTCCGAATTACAGGGGCAAATCATAAACCCAAAAAATTGTCAATAACTATCGCTGAAGAGTAATTCACACTAACAACGAGCAGATTGTGTGAGCAACCCATAATTTGGGGTACGCAAAAACACAACTTGCTCTCTTGAATTCCTTTAGAGCGACGCGCATAATCCTAAATAGAGTGTCTGAGGTTTGAACTCGGAAGAACCTCGCAGGTAAAGCAACAACCACTATACTTAAAAAACTCCAGGAATATTAGTAATATATAATAAAGTCGCGACGTTGTCAAGGTTGCCAAGTTTATTTGAAAAACTCAAATTGAAATTAAGCTGATACTCCTTCGGGCTCCTACCTACAGTACAGTAAGTCAACTGTGGTCGGGGACTCGCTGCCTGTCATTGACACAGACCCACAAATATTGCTACCTACTCCTACAATAGACTGCAAACACTACTACTCAGTAAGGTATCTAAGCATGTCCATCAATTGACATCGTTATTAAAATCTATTCAACCAGGATTTGAACCTGGATGACTTTCATGACATCCTGAAAGACTAACCATCACGCTAAACCACCTATACAAATGATGTCAACTGTACTAGAGTCGTTAATTGTTCAAACTACATTGTACCTACTAACAACTACTCTGGTGTCTGTCCAGAGCCCATATCCCACTGTCCCTACTCACTGCCACATCATTAGTCACTGTATCACTCAAGTCGATAACCTACTCCGAGTCCTGAGACCTACTCCAAGAATATACACCCGCTGGGATTCGAACCTGGGTCTGCCGAATGAAGGCCCACCGCACTAGCTCACTAGAGTAATGCAATGGTTGGTGTCAAAGTGGTCCAATGGGCGAGGTCATTATATTGGTCAGAGACTAAATCGGTTATTTCTCGTAAATGAGTCTTTTTTTTTGAAAAAATTCTTTCATATTATTACTCAGCTCGACGAGAGGAGTCGATTGCGCCCATTTTCAGGGTGATACTTACTGTCATTAACGAAAAAGGCCTCGCAGTTATACATTTTTGCAGGGGGTTTTCCTTCGGCTCTATATGGCGCGCCCTACGGGGCCCTACCCGCGCGCGCCCCTGTGAAAAAAGAAGCAAAGCTACATCCACCTAGCGGCTGTGCGGAACGAACCCCCTACCGGGGGGGTGCTAGAACCCGCGACCTCCGGATGGGAAGCCCGGTGCTCTACCGCTCGACCGCTGGGACACACGATAACACGTGCATCCTCAGCCCGGATGGGGGCTTGGGAGAGAGAAGGGTGCTACTGCACGTTCATAGGCCTCCGGCCGGGCCTCCTGTGCTGCCCCGCATAGCGGGGACCCCCAGCACAGTCGGCCCTCTTGCCGACGGTACTTATCATATTACACTCATCACTGGACTTACGGACACTTGTTACTTGACCCACGGTACATTTTCCGAGAATGTCTAAATCCGGATTCGAACGCACGACCTAACGCTCGTCAAACCAACTACTAGCCCATTACGCCAATGCGCCACATAAAATCTATATCGAACTTTTCGCTACGCCCTTGCACAACGCACCATTTTTGTGGCGCATTTTCGCATAAAACGTGAATTGACAAATTATCGTGGTCGATTTCTCGCAAGCAAATCTATAAACCAGAATTCTAAGACCATATCTGGGCTAATTAGAGCATTATCTACCTACACCCAAAGTTTGGAAAACTTTTTTGTGGATAATGAGCGAAATCGGCTGCAAAAGTACCAAATTCGCTGTGTATTCTGGGAGGTATTTTAGCGCGCGCCCGGGGCCCCTCCCCCTGCGCGCTGAAGTGTTGAGCGTGTCAAAAAGACGTCCACCTAGCGGTGTGCTGGTTGATCCTGTCACCTGCGGTGCCAGTTGCTAGTCTACCTGCCACGCTGTGGCAGACTTGACGTCCTCGTCCGGCATCATCCTGCCTGACACATTCTGTTCGTGACCCACTAGTGCTATTAGTTTGGTGTTGAGCCAGTACCACTGGCTTGAGTGCGCACTGTTAGCCGTGCGCACTGGTCTGAGTTTTCCGATGTGGAGTCCACATTGTGGACTAGAGTGCTACTCTACTCTCTGATGCGCTCTCGCGCGTTACTTTGCATTGCTTTGAGGGGGTTCGAGTCTGCATGGTTGATTGGTCCGTGCACCCCACTGAAGTGGGGACCCCGCACGGACCCGTCGTAGTTCGAACCTGCGACCTTTAGGATGAGAGTCGGGCTGAATAACCACTAGAGTAATACCTCGCTTAAATAATTGTGTTTCGTCGAGGGTCGCCAGTCTCTAGTACCGTACACCGTGGTGGTTAGTTAAATCATAGTCGAAGACCTTGTGCTGCACATTATCACCAGTACTTAGTACGCGTATCAACTGTCAGAGGTCGGATATAGGTCAACCGCATGGCAGAGCATGGCACTTTCCATGAGACTGAACCAAATTTATACGGTCTATCGCTACTACGATGATACAAAAAAACGTGATTCCTCAGATTCGAACCTGGATCTCTCGAGTGACAACCCGTCACACTAACCATTATACCAAACTTACTATATATATTAAAAGTGTACGAGACGCCAGCCGAAAGTTGAGTGTTGCTTGGTAGCACTGAGCATGGACTTACAGCCTACCCAGAGCCCAGAGGGCATTGTCCTTCTCACCGATACACTACTGACCGCTGTGCCACCCTAGTCGCTGACCTACTCCGAGTGCTGAATCTTATTCCGCCATATAACCCCACCGGGATTCGAACCTGGATGTCTCGAGTGATAGCGCGCGCCCTTAACCTGCCAGACTAGAAGGACTGTTGAAGAGGAAGTTGCTTGTGCAACATGGTTCACATAGAATTGATGAAAACTAAAACGTGAATAACTTTTTATTGAGCCTATAAATCGAAAATCCGGCTTCACAGCGATGTTCAGCAGATCGAGATCTGTCGATTGGTGAAGGAATTTGTGGGATTTATAGGCTAGATCGCGAAATCGGCTCCGCAGTTACACATTTTTGATGGGAGCTCCTAAAGGTTAAAAAATAAACGCGCATATGGGGACCCCTCCCCCATGCGCGGCGGTCGATAAGGGCGGAGAGGCGCCATCCACCTAGCCCGTAGAGGACTCCCTTTCGGGAGAAATTGGCGTAAATGAGTGCCTTGACATGAAATACTGTAGACACTGGCCGATGGTTCACCGGCGGTGAATTCAAGTGGAAAGTTGAATGGCTCCTGTGCTGAGTAGTCAGAGTCACAGAGACCAGTTGTCGGCCCACTCGTCACTTCTATATCCTGACGATGTTGGGCCGACATTGCTACTGACTTGCTGTTGAGCCGACGCTTTGCTATCGATCACGGGATCGATAGCTGGGCGGTCTCTACTAGACGCCCTATGCTGGACATTTGGGATCTACATATTCACTTGCGCTTCCGCGCATTCTCTAGATTAACCAACCAGGGTTTCGAGGTTCCCGGTGGAAGGGGGTCCGCGCACCCCACTAAAGTGGGGACCCTGCACGGACCCGGTGGGATTCGAACCTGCAACCATCTGCACGCAGACCTGGGCGCTTACCACTACGCCAACTCACACTTCGTTCAATTCAACTAACTGATATGCTGTTTTTCTGTCGACTAGAGAAAATATATTAATAATCTGTTGCCGAGAATCGAATCTGGGTTGTCCGCATTGGAGTCCGCTGCACTAACCATTAGACTATCACCGATATAGAAATTAGTACTGTGTAATGGGCTGCTCCGATCTCAGAGCCGTAAGATAATCTGGATGGTGGTTCACTGCCTGCCCAGGCCCTTGAGACACTGTTCCAACCCATTCACTGACTCACGCCACCGTGCAGCAAGCCTATCTCGGCTCTTACTCAATGTAGAAAAAGTACATTCACCCGGATTCGAACCTGGGTCTACGCAGTGGAAGACGTGCATCCTAACCTACTAGACCATACTGACTGTGCATGACACGCGTAATGATGACACCCGGAAACTTTGAACAGGACAGCCATGACTGCTAATACCCACTTCAACCTAATGATTCCTACAGTACATTCCTCGAAACTACACTCGACCCCCTCTTTCTGTATCCAACATCAACTCATTCTCAGTACTACCACCCAACTCGTAAACACCCACAGACTATATATATACAAGTGGAATAATGGGCCTACTGGTTGCATATACTTCTCACGCGCCATGAAATTGTCTATATAAAACATAACCATATCATATAGTATATTAACTGATCACAAGACAACTTGTCCCTTCCCGGGACTCGAACCCGGGACCTTCCGGTGGAAAGCGCGCGCCCTTACCACTGCGCCAGATCAACTGACAAGCACTATCGTACCTAAATGACGAGGTCACTATGAACCAAAATCTTTAATCCCCAATTACTCGTCAGGAAATCTATAAACTGACCCGAGAGTAGCACCATTGTGCTCAGAAGGACCAACCGAGTCGATTGGTAACACTTTCAAGACGGTTCTGAGGCTCAGTTTCGAGATCGTCTCCAAAAGGGTGTGATTTTGCTGTGAGTAAAATTGCTCATATAGGCGCGCGGGTCCCTCCCCGCTCGCCCGAAAAAAGTAACGCGAAAAAAAAATTTCCTCCACCTAGCACCGGTGTGGTGCCTGATCGG